ATTACTGTTACTACCCTCCAAGCAGCGTCAGCGTGAGCGACGACGATGACAGCAGCACGAGCTCACTCTCTGCTGCAGTCAGCGCAATCAGCCTGCAGCAGCAGCATTGTTCGGCCTCTTCCAGCAGATTGGGGCCAGCATCTGCATCAGCATCTGAAGACGGAGGAGGACACGCCGGACGGCCACGGCAGCGAGAGGGGGAGGAGGAGCGGCGGCGGAGGAGGATGAGTCGGAACAGGTCGATGGTGGACATGCGGAGCCAGCTGCTGCACAGGACGCTGGTGGAGGAGCTCAACAAGCGCCTCTTCTTCAACACCGTCGGCGCCGTCCACGACATCGGCTTCCGCGACCCTACTACTTACGGATCGTCGTCGTCGTCTTCTTCGTCACAGCATCGCCGGAGAAGCAGCAGCAAGGTCGACCACAAGCACCACTACATGTTCTGAATAAACTTTTTCAGAGCAAATTAGTACTCTAATTTGGTATGTACAGAATGATCGATCAGATGCAGAGTACGTAAGTGTGCAGCTAGCTATCTAGCCCGCGGCCACAAAATTGTGTATATTTGGAGAGAAGTGCATATATGAGTGTTGTTCATGACAATTTTGCCATGCGACATGTGAATGAATATATGAGTGATATTTGTACATATGGTATGAGTGATATTTTTCCCAAAATAGGTACCCCAGCATATGCATGCGCTGCTGACCAGAGTTTTAACTGCTGAACAGTTCCCCTCAATTGCACTCCTTTTGTTTTTAAGTTTCGATTTTGCTATTAAAATTGGCTCTCTTTTTTGTTTAAAGTGTTTTAAGGTTAGGTGAGTTTGCTGGTCGTTCTCCGAAATCTTTTCCAATCCAAGTATTTTCCCCGAAATTGATTGTGGAAATCACGAGGTGCCTATAAATCAAGCGCCCAATTTTTTTTTCAAAAGTCGGGCGCTGTTTCACCGAGTAGATCGAACATGTTTCACTAAATAGATCGAAAATGTTTCGGTCTTTTAAAAAGTTGAAACACAACCAAATAACCTCATGAAACATTTTGCTACAACGTATGAAACAACGGTTTTCAAAAAAATCAGAGTTGTTTCACCCTATTTAAAAATAATGTTTCAGCAAATAGCAAAAGAATGATTCAATTCTTAGAAAAGTGAAACACGGTCAGATCGCTAGATGAAACAATTTGGTTCAACGTATGTAACAAACGATTTGATTCCCGTGTACATCAACAAACCACGTGTCCATCAAGATAGAAAATATTAAACAATATAAAACCCACTACAATATTTCATCTATGCATAGTGAAACATCATGAGTACACTTGCTGAAACATTGTTGGTGGAATGAAAAATGAAACGAATTCTCTTAATAAGACGTTTCCGTAATATATGGTGATTTGTTGCAACGGCGCGTGTGGTGGGGATGACGCGGAGGCGCAGTAGAGCGCGGGTGCCCGATGTATGCGTGCCAGCATCGGGCGTCCGATTTGAGGCATTTAAGTGGAAATCAACCAAAATTTTCTACCCAAATAATCATGGGCTCTGGACACACTGATAGCCCTCCCTTCCGGGGCCACGTCCATCGATCTCTGGGCTGCAGTATTGGGCCTTGGCCCATCACCGCGCGTGTGCAATTACTGCAACGCGTAAACACACCCTGCAACTTGCTGTATCTGTATGCGTGTCGCCAGCTTCAGAGGGCGGCACGGTGTTCTCAAAAAAAAAAAGAGGGCGGCACGGCAAAGATCCACAGTCAACGGTCAAATGTTCCCCATCCCATTTGCATCTCTCTCTTGATCCAATGCATTGTACCACCAACATCTTCTCCAAGCACAGATCCTAAAATGCCTAATTGTTTCCTCTTTTTTTTATGAAATAGAAATCAAGTATTTGCCTCATCTTCTCAAGGTGTTCAATGTGTCTCAGATATCGCGCGTTGTCAAGGACCAAATTAAGCTACATATCTTGCTAACCTCTTTACATTTGTATCTAGCTGATCATCTCCTAATTAAAAGGTAGTAAATTTGATCTGTAATTCTAACATCAATGTGTATCTAGCTGATCATCTCCTAATTAAAAGATAGTAAATTTGATCTGTAATTCTAACATCAATGTGCATCACAGCAGTCAGAAATAATTCAGAAAACTGCAGGGGAAACCAAAGAATAACGTTCCATTAATTGTTGCGAACTAACTAGCAAATCGATCTCATGTGTATATATGTACATAGTTTCTGTATATCGAACAAATCAACAAAAAGAATGAAACAAGAAAAACAAGTAGCGTGTGTCATACACTCATACATACACAACTAAGATAGAAAGCCTACAGAGGAGGGAGAGGAAGAGGGCAAATACGAGTAGCTAGCTAAGCTAGTTTGTGCGCTTGCTGGGGCTGGATGGCTGTGGCCTCCCTCTGGGCTTCATGCTTCTCAACCAAGACAGCTGCTGCTGCATCACTTGTTCTTCAGTCGTCGTCGTCGTATCTGCTGATGCTGTCTCCGATTCGTGCTTCAGCTGTGGCTGCATCGGCGTCGGCGACGGAAGAGGCAGAGGCCTGCTGCAACTGCCGTGGTGTGCGAAGAAGACGAGCAGGAGGAGCAGCACAAGCAGCAGCAACGACGACGACGAGCTGCAGGGCTTCTTGTTGCTTGACAATAGCAATGTGGCCATTGTTGTGATCTCCTTGTGTTGGAAGCTAATATGGATGGATTTGCAGAGGAATTGAAGCACAGGTAGCTATCCGGGATATAAATACAAGAGATAGGTAGCCGCAGAGCGAAGAAAAGGGGGCGTTTCAATTAAAGTCAATGGAGAGGAGACGATCGATGGAATTATTAACTCAAGCTAAGACGTGTTTCCTCTTCCAAAAGATTAGCTCTCAAGACGTGTGGAATGGAAATATGGAATCAATTAAGCCAGTTTTGCAAGCTGGAAGGAAGAAGCAGAAGAAGATGTAGATAAAGAAGACTTGGTGTGAGGGGAGGCGTGCGGATCAAGTTGAAGCTAGCTAGCAACGATCGATGGAGGGACGACGCGTTTTGAGTAGCAAGCTCCACCTGGCGAGACCGTGTAGCCGTCTACACATTGATGCCACTAGTATACTGTACATTCTTCTTCACTCATAGGCTGACAGGCCACGTACCGACTTTCTATCAGCACACCTCTAGCTTGTAAGCACGCATCTATCAGTAATTCCATTTAATTTGTAACGAAAATGTTTAGCTATCGTGCAAAACGCTAGGCCCCATAGGCCCATACGATCGAGGCCATGTCTTACCGATAATGGGAGTATTAGAGTTGTAAGCGATAGACCACAACAACAGGATTGTAAAAGGTCTCAGATAAAAGCCCAATGTTTCACTGGACCAGTAGTGACTATGTCTTTGGGTGTGATAATCCTATTGAGAGCGTTGTCGAGGTACACGTTCTCTTTCTGTGAGGATTTTTGGGTGAACACCATATTCAGTGTATTTGGACGGGCGACAACAACGTCTTTTTTATCGCAAACTTCGTGGAGACATCGTTTTTTTAGTCTTCTTTTTGTGGTGTTGTTGTTGGCCTAGTGGTGACCAACCTCGTATATCAGTGGTTGGTTTGGGCTCGGTTTCTCTCTTAGCAGCTTATGTTTGTATGGTTGATATGTGATGCAGGGTATGCATGTACTTTGATGCACATTCTTCTTGACAACCGGTTGGCGAAAAAGAAAGAATTATATTCGCAATCATATATATATATATATATATATATATATACATACGTATATATACATATATTAAAAAATTATATATATTATAAAATATTGTCAATTAAACACCTCAAAATATCCATAATAATAGCTGATACATCTCAAAATATATATACAGAATCACTGAAATATATATATATACATGGAGAAGTCAGGTGGATCAGCACGTACTCAATCAAACAGAACGAGTTAGTGACTAACTAAATCACAAATAGTTGCCCTTCTATCTCAGTATTAATCTTCTACCACTAGTGGAGAAGTGATTTTTAGTCCCAGTTCGTAAACCCCCTGTAGTCCCGGTTTTTCCAACCGGGACTACGAATCCGGGACTAAAGATCGCTATCTTTAGTCCCGGTTCAAATAACCGGGACTATCGCTATTGATTTCACACCATCCCCTCCCATATCCAAATCATCACATATCACAGGACATCTCCAAATCCTCAAATCCTTGAATAAATCATCTCCAAATACATCACAAACTCTTAAAAAATAGATCATCTCCAAATACATCACAAACTCTTAAAAAAATTACATCACAGGGTTCTAAAAAAAATCATCACAGATTCACATCTCACACAAAAATACATCACAGATTCACATCTAAAAAAAAAAAGAAAAAAATCCGGCCGGCGGCCACTGCCGCCTCCCCTCCTCCCCTCCGCGCCAGCCGGCCGGCGCCGCGCCGCCGCCGCCGCGCGCCCCCCGCGCCGCCGCACAAGCCACCTCCACGCAGCCCCCGGCGCCGCCGCGCCGGCCGCCCACCGCCGCCGCTGCCGCGTGGCCCCACGCGCCGCTGCGCAGGCCGCCTACGCGCCGTCCCCCGCGCCGCCGCCTCCGCCACCGCGGCGCCGGCCGCCTGCACGCTTCTTCACTGTGGGGTGAAGGAAAAAAGGAAGGAAAGGAGAGGAGTTAGAGATAAGGAAATAGATAAGAAGTTAGAGAGGGAAAAAAAGATAGAGGGAGGAGTTTGTTGTGTGGATGGGAAAAGAGGATCGGTACTAGAGATTATATAATGTGTTTTGATTTTTATTCCCGGTTAGTAACACCAACCGGGACTAAAATAGGTTTTTAGTCCCGGTTGGTGTTACTAACCGGGACTAAAGATCCTAGGACCCTAACACGGCCTGACATGGAATCAACCGGGACTAAAAATGAACTTGCTAAAGATCATTTTTAGTCCCGGTTTTTAATGGAACCGGGACTAGTGTGGATTTGGGTCGACCGACCAAAGATGGTTTCTCTACCAGTGTACGTAAGTACAAGATACTAGTTAATCAGCCAATTAATCAATACAGAATTACTACATACAGTGACATATTGCAGAATACTACAATATACAACATGTTCGACATTCTTTTTTCAGTACAACTGCATGGCCAAAATTAAAGCGAACTCTAGTACAGCACAATCCATCTGCTATCTGAATTTGGGATCAGTTTCATCAGAAATAGTGTCATGTTGATCGTGACAGAGGAGCACTCTGCACGCCACCATGGTCTCACCCACCTTCATCCCCGGCGTCACGGTGAATGCAACTCCATCTCCTTCGCCACGACCAGCATCGGCGGCGGCGGCGGCGGCCACGACGCTGTCCATGTACTCCGCCGCGTACCTGCTCCCTCTCCTCGCGTACAACATCCTGACACTTCCACGGCCACAACATCGCCGGCGCGCCGTCACCGCCACCCGCAGCGCCCACGCCGACCTCGCCATCGTCGCGAACGCCCTGTAGAACCACGTCCTCGGGTGCCCGCCTCGCGACACGAACGCCCTCACGTCCAGATTATTTCTGAACATAGCTGCCTCCATCTCTGACGACACGGCCGCTAAGTACTTTGTTCGACAGAACCTCGCGAAGCTGGAGTTGGGGTGCTCCATCAACGCGTCCAGAGGGTCACAGCATCTCATGATTCGATCGAAGCGAGCAAGATCGAGTTCGTCGTCGTCTTCAGCACCATCATGTACTGCAAGCATTGTCCGTGACAGGTAAGCTTCCAGTGAGTACCTCTTGTATGGTGAATGTTCGTCTGCATTGTTGGGACAGCGATGATCAGGTGAGGAAATCAAGCTAAAGATCAGCTCTGCGAAATCATGCACCGATGTCGATGCAACCTTGAACAGCTCCAAGACTGCACTAGGCGTCGTCAATTTTTTCAGGACAATGGAGTAATCCTTATGATGGTTAACTGATGGTTTGCTGCTACTGATCTGTTTATTCAGTCTCGAATTCGCACTCTTCAGACCATCCAGCTCTCTTCTCAACAGCATAATGTCTGAATCTTTCTTCCTCGTCTCGGCCTCCAGTTCCTGCACCAGCGACCATCGATCATTGATAAGTGACCCAACGCTGCCATTCCAACTGCATAAGCTCTGTAGAGCAGTGACCGAGTCGAGCTCGTAGGTGATGATCTCGTCGGCGAAGGCAATCTTTGGACGATTATAAGGGATATGAGCTTTCTGCAGCTTGATGTAGGTTGACTTGAGAGCTCCGATTTCCTCAAACAGTCTTGTGATAACTAGCCTCTGATCATATCCGCCACAATAATCTCCAAATTCTGTCTTCGTGTCAGCAAATTCAGGCGCGGCACAAATCTTTGTGATTTTGCAGAGTTTGGAGAAGCCTAATACGAGTCCAGGAACATTACAGGTGCTCCTTGCAACTGAACTTCTTGGTGTTCTTGACTCCATTGGGGCTGATTCAGTGCAAACCAAGAAACAAAAGAAGAATCTTTGAGACGACATGGGAGAGTATGGTAAAATTATCTACGAGAAAATCAATGTAATCGATGGTTTGAACTTGCTTTACTTCTCTAATTTGATAGAAAGACTAACAAACCTCTGTTTATGACCACAGACCAAATGCAGCAATATCTTTCATTTTCTGAGATGTAAACCCAAGAGGAAACCACAGACTACATGGGCATGATGCAAATCTTGTGCTCCATCTCCACTGTTGAACATGAAGGGTAGAAGAGCAAGCATGCATGAAGTACCTGAGAGGGAGGCTGGGACTGACCAGTGAAGTGCTGAATTGAATTGGTGCAGAGTGACCAAGAGGATAGCCTGGTTTCCCCCGGCTAAAATTGAAACATTTCTAAGTCTGCTGCTGCTGCTTGCAAGCTATGCAGAGAGGAAAGCGAAAGAGCAAGCAGGAGCAGTAGTACAATGAAGGACAAGAAATGGACATGGCAGTGGCATTGGGAACAACAAAAGCAAAAAGGTTGCAGAGACAAGGTTTTTGCGATGCATTGTGGGCACTGGAATGGATAGTGTGTGCTGTCCCCTCCCCTGGTGGCCCGTTGTCTCAAAGCAAAAGTGAAACAAAGTGGTAAATGAACGTATTGAGATGATCTTTCATTCCAACCAAACCTTTTCCAACATTTGACTACTTCAAAATCAAATTTCAGACACTTTCCGATATACTACTAGTAGCTAGGTAAATATATATCACTTCCAACGGTGATATCAAATAATGGACTCTTTTCTATTGTCATAATAATACAGAAATTTAAGTGTATGTAACCAAACTTCTGAAGCTTCCAACCAATTAATTACATTTTTTTCTAAAAATAGAAAAAATGTCAGCTATACACCTCAATATACTCTTGCGTGAAATTCATCTGTCAATTATACATCTCAAAATATACTTGTATAAAAATACTAGCGGTATGCATAAGCACTGACTGCACATATGTATAAAGGTCAGGTGCATATATATATATATATATATGCTCTCAATCAAATGAGTTAGTACTTCTCTCTCCGTTCCAAAATAAATCAAAATATGATTGGATAAGATAAATCTACTCTTCTAGTTTGATTTATTTTGAGGCGGTGGTAGGATAGAGTTAGTGAAATCTGAGATAGCGTCAGACCATGTTATCTGCGGTGCTAATAATGTCATCTGCGGCGGCGACGGCGACGTCAGAACGGCAGAGCGGGCATGTTGTGCGGTTGCGCAGCCACTTGACGACGCAATCCTTGTGAAACGCGTGCGCGCACCCCGGCAGCATCCTCCATCTCCCCCGCTCGCCGCCGCCGTCGTCGACATCATCCTCGCTCTCCGACAGACAGATGACGCACTGCTCGTTGTCTTGGTCGTCTTTAGGTCGTAGCAGCAGCCTCTCGATCAGCATGTCGTACTTGTTATTGGCGTCGTCGTTGCGGCGGCGGATGAGTCCGACCACCGTGGCGATGGTGAGGGCGAGGAAGCAGAGGGCCACGCCGATGCAGGCGAGGAGGAAGAAAAAGATGATGCCCCACATGAGACAGTCCACGATATCCTCCGCGTCCATGCCTGCCAATGCACTGCACACACACTCGACTCGATCGATATGTCTCGATTTTCTTGTGTACGTACGTATATGTCGATGGATCGATCATCGACTCTGAATTGGATTAGCAAAAAGTAAATCCGATTCTGACACGTGACCGTCCTCCTGCGCCGCAGCCACGGCCACCCTTTTGCTTCTCCTCCTCATCATACATTCATACTCATACATGGACAGGGCCTCGTCGCGCCTCTGGAAGCAGAGCATCTCACAGATCGATCTTTTTTTTTATCCGGTGATTAATTAAAGATCCAATCAACAGGCAATAATAATATCGTAGTTGATCCATTTCTTTCTTGTATGTATGCAGATCATAACAATATTTTTATCTCATCTTAAAAGGATTAAAAATCAAGTCCGAGCTAACAAGAGATCCATATATTGTGCGTACAGATACCTAAAATACACTGATGCTACTATTTTTTTTTTGAACGGAATGCTACTATTTTAGGATCTGCATATATATAAAGGGTGCAACATATATAGCTGATTGATGCTTGCAACACATTATTACGCATAAATGCATGGGCGGCGCAGAACACAATTCAAGTGGAATTGGAAAAACAGAAAATAAACAATACTATCAAGATATAGTTGCGCGATGCTGTTCTTGAAAGAGCTGCCCATCTGGCAAGCGTTCGGGTTTTCCTTATTCACAGGGGCCCTCGCCGGCAGCATCCTGTACGCCGTGTGCGTGCTCCTCCTCTGCTGCGTCGATCGCCGACGTCGACATGCCGGTGCGCCGCCGCCTGATCCGAAGATCTGGCTGCCGGACCACGCGCACCATCGCCGGCGGCGGGATGAGTCGTCGGAGATGGAGTGCAGCATATGCCTGGGGGAACTGGAGGAGGGGGAGAGGTGCTGCACGCTGGCGGCGTGCAGGCACGAGTTCCACAAGGAATGCATCTACCGCTGGCTCGCCAACCGCAACACCTGCCCTCTCTGCCGCCACATCTCCCTCCCCCCTGCTTCATCACCACCACCTGCGCCGCCGCCTCACCATGCTTCTCCTCCTCCTTCCAATGTACTGGCTGCTGCTCATGTTTAGATCATCATCTGAAGAGATTTTGTTTCTTAAAATAAACTAAAAAGGTTTCTTCCGGCTTAATTTGTTTTGAAGCCAACAAAAAAAAAAGAAACGTCTGGAAGAAAAACTGGAAGCACTGATGGACGATTGCTCTTTTACGTGATCATATATGTTCAAAAACTTTACTATTTTGATATAATAAAAGCTTAGAAAAATACAACTTGTGTGTGATATATGGCGTCGGCAGCCACTCATCCATTTTTGGGCGTTATGTAAAATTTCCTGCGCAGCGCCGGCGCCCGTCCCTCTCTTGCGCACGCGTAATTAGCAAGAGGACTGCTACAGTCTACAGTACAAGATATATAGTTAGAAAGCTACACTTTAATAAACCCTTCTCTTTTCTCTACCTGCATAAGCAACTAACCAACTACGCGTAAAACACAATGTACCAAGAGATAATTCAAGGAAAATCAATAGAAATAATTTCAATTCTAGGAAAAATCTAATAAAAAATAACAACAAACTACTCCCATAGCCAGAAAATTCCTACATATTCCCATTGCCCCTAAAAACAAGCAATCAAGCGTAGGAAAAAGCACGCAAAGTCCTTCAATATGACTAGCTAACTCAAATCAATGAGCAAAACTAGCCTGAGAAATCACCTCTAAAAAATGCTTAAAAACCACACGAAAAACCAACAAAAAAAACTTGCCAATCCGATTCGCCACCACCTCAAAAAAGCCTCAAGAATGGCCCCTGCGATTTCTTCACCTCGAGTTGAGTTGGTTTTCCACAACAGCACACAAGTCGTTGTTGACCACACGGACTGATGACCACATGGTGCTCACCGCCCATGAGCCATGAGGGTGAGAGGGGGAAGGGGGGGAGAGAGGGAGGGAGGGAGATGGAGAGAGGGGGGGAGGGGAAGAAGAAATACAGGGATAGGATAAGACCAAATACGTGGTATACTGACATGGATAAGATGTTTAAGTAGATGATTATTTAGTCACATGCATGTTCGGACGGGAGACTGTTCTATAGTATTTTCAGATTAGCAATTTGGAAAAGCTAGATACTGGTATCCCGCGCCTAGCACCCGCGACGGTATCGTCTCCCTCATTCCCTAGAGCACAAGCGTAGGCATGCGGCAACGGAGCAGCGCAGGCATGCGGCAACGGAGCAGCACTGGCATCGGGCATGCGGCAGCGGAGGAAGAAGGGAGAGAAGGGAGCTCACTGGAGAAGGCCCCCGCTGCCTCGCCTCACTGCTTCGTCGGGGAGCACATCACCGGAGAAGATATGCAGCACCACGGGTGATGAGTTCCGGCATGGGACTAACGAGCCTCGGCGTGGGGCGTGGGAAGACGCAGCCACCGGCGACCAGCCCTGGCGTGGGGCGTGACAACAGAGGACGCGGTCGCCGGCATCGAGCCCCAGCATGGGGCTTAGACAGTGGAGGACGGGCTCGATGTGGAGGACAAGGCTAGCAGTGACAACGTCTCGGTGACCGGCTCCTGATGCCTAGTAGGAAACACATGATATCTGGCAGGTATCGCGCTCTGGTATCGACGAGTATCAAGTGGTATTAACAGGTATCAACATCTAGTACCAATGGGTATCAGTCAATACCTACAAGTATTACCTGATACCTGACAGAAATCGTATGATACCGGTTAGGTATCAGAGGATATGATGATAATGGTTAAATGCCCTGATACTTAATAGGTATCAAATCCTGATACTTAACTGGTATCATTCCGTCCAAACGAGATTTATTGTATAGCAGTTTAGATGGTCTATCTTTTTCTCTAATAGAGAGCTTGAACAGGAGATTTGGGAGGTACAGTTGAAGCGATATTACTACTTGATAGGTGGCAAAATTTGGATAAGATAGGGATGCGATACACGTTATCATAAGACCCTTCAAATGTAAAAATTAAAATCATATATAAAAGTAAATTCAAATGTTAATAAAAAAATTAGTTTATCAAATAAAACTTAATTTGTAATAAAATATTATTGATCAAATATTTAAAAATTTGAATTTTAAAATTCGTATGTGTCTTGTTGAGTGGATCGAGCAGAGGGGGTAATATTTTGCTCATCACCTAGACACTTGTTAAGAGAATATTTGTAAGTTGTAACAACCAAGACGGGTTAGAATATATCCCCTTCATCCTTAAAAAAAAATATAATCTATGAGAAAATATGACATAGTCTAACGACGAATCTAAACATGTATAATCTAACACCAATTCAACTTCTCCTCGTCGGAGCTACAAAACCCCTACAGGAAGCTGGTGTGGGGGCATACGCCGCACCATGCCCTAGTGGGTGGGTCCACGCCTAATACTCATATGAGCACGTGTATACATGGCGATCTGACTCATCAGCGTCAGCGTGACAGCGTGTACAGTACAGGGATCTTCTACTACGTGGAGTATATATGTACATGCATGATCTAGACATACGTATACTCTAGAAAGAAATTAAGGAAGAGAAGAGAGACGAAAAGTCAGAGTTGTGTGGTGCGGAGGTGTACACATGCATGTGTGCGTGCCGTGCAGACGTGGCAGTGATCCAGCATCATCGATCTATATGATTAGAGGAATTTTTGTCACTATTTTCATTATTGCGACGACCCTATCCAACTGCAGCCATCCATTTGTTCAGTGCATGCTCTAGTATATTCTCAATTACTAGTCTCTTCCCGTTTCTTAAAGCTTCGACATTAATGTATTCAACCATGTGAAACAAATACAAATCCTAGTTTCTTATATTTGGTATATGGAGGGACTATGTTATTTGCTTCATCCAAAAACCGACGGGTAAAATAAATTTATTTATACTACAACACCTACATATGCTCAGAGATGATAAATTTCAGCTATTTTTATTTGCTCTATCCGTACCAAAATATACCAACTAGTAATAAATTAGATATAATAAGTACATTGTGTCTAATCCCGTATTTACTATATTTTCGGATGGTGGAAAAAATTATTGGTAAATTATTTATGCTGATATGTACTTATTATACGGATAAATTAAATATTTTAGGAAACAAACTTGCAAGAAAAGCTTAAAACAAATAGTCTAAATAATTTAAGTAAAAGAACTTTTCTTTGAGAAAACATATATTTAGAGCTGTATAGCAAATAATCTATTGCACTGACCTGATGAACAAGCTTGAAAAAAAAGCCTTAGAATTAATTAATGGTTATAACTGAATTTTGCACAAATAAAAAAAATAATTACCTCCTCTTATTGCTTTTTTCTTAGGAAAATCGTTTATCATTAAGCAATGTTTGTTTCTCTTCTTAGGTACGTTTGAATTTTGATACCCCAAACGTTAGTTTTGTTCATTTTCCATTGTCATGCCATTATGTTGGATTTTGAAAGACTCAATGTGTCAGTATTTTTTTTAAAAAAAGATGGTAATAGCGTTATTTCTCTTCACATATAAGTTTGCATGATCTTTCTCAGTGTGCAAGTTATGTCCAACTAGATAAAACCCTGCACGTGGTGTTGCGCGAGTTTTGTATGATAATAGTATAAACAAATTTTAAGATAGCTAGACGACATACCCTTAAATAATTTGCATCTTTGATCAATCATTTTTTAAAAAATAAGGTGATGATATTTAAAAAGTAAAATTAAGGTGAGTTGGCTTCATAAAAGAAAAAACAAAAAGGAAGGAGACAATATAGATTGGTCATTCAAAAGCAAAATAAAAATGATATTGCTTTATGAGAAAAAAAAGAAATAATATGGATCATGTATTAATAAAAATAAGAAATAATTTGGATAATGTATTAATCATCAAGTGCTAGAAACAGTGGGGGTGAGAGAAATGCACTACTACGAAAACAGTTTTTCTTTGTGGGGGAAAAACAGTTTTTACGTGCGGAGGTGGCGCTCGTCTGCCCGGAAGTGTCTGCAAAAATAAGGATTTCTCTGTGCGGACGCGAAAAATAAAAATCTGAAAAAAAAATCAAAACCCTAGTTGCCGCCGCAGCTCGTCATCGTCGTAGCCGTCACCGCCGCCATTATCGCCGTCGCCGAATCCGGGCGGCGGAGGGCGGGAGAGAGGTGCCACCGCCGGATCCGGGCGGCGGAGGGCGGGAGAGGGGCGTCGCCGCTGGATCCACGCGGGGGAGGGCCGGAGAGGGGCGCCGTTGCGGGGAGAGCGCGGGGATGGCCGCCGTCCGCCTCCGCTCCGGCCACCACCTCCTCATCGGCGGGGCGGCGTGGATTCGTGGGACCAACGGCGCTGCTCCCGGCCACCTCGTCAACGGCGGCGGTCGGTGCCCTGCTCCTCTCGCCGTTGCCCACTGCCGAGCCGCCCACCTACCGCCGTACGTGAGTGTGTGAGAGGAGAGGAGAGAGAGCGTGCCTGGCTTAGAGGATAAGGATAAGGAGGTGAGAGAGTTGGAGGAAGGATATTAGGATGTAATTTTTGAAGTGTTGAGGAAAAAATGAGGGAGGGTATTTTCGCGTGCGACGGTCTTAAAACGCCCGCATGCGAAACTCAATTTTCGTGTGCACCCTATTAAGAGGTTCGCCTGCAAAAATAGGTTTATTTTTGCACGGGGATCCTTAAGAGGCTCGCCTGCGGTCCTCTCAAGGATCCGCACGTAAAAATAGGAGGACGATTTTTTCCAGACGGGACTAGTTACGGTCCGTCTGCAATCTAAAGAGGACCCTGTACAGGAAAATCATTTTTTAAGTAGTGGCGGCATCAATTATGAAGTGAATTAATTGACAGACTGAAAGGCGCATTAAAGTACATAAAAACGCAATTGAGATCCCCTGTAGTACTGCATTTGCAGCTCACTGGCATGACATATGGGCCCCATGCCAGTGAGCAGTAATACACATGCAGTACTGCAGACGACTTGCATCCATAAAAACGATCAATCCACGCTTTCCTGAGAATAGATCTGTTGATCCATAATCATAATAGAGGAAATGCCATCTTATGAATGAATGAAGACGGAATTCACTCGAAATTACTTCTTGAGGCAATGGTTCATTGATTCCTAAGACCGTGGATAGTTCTTGAGGTGGATGAATGAAGCCAGGAATTTGGTGCACATGCATGTGCTGATTCGTGTTCCGATAAATGTACCACATAAAACCATCGGACGAATCAAGCCGGGGTTCTAGACAAGATTCAATGTGGGGCTGAGATCAAGTTCAGCAGGGGGACAAAATAAATCATCAGAAGCAACAGAGAACAAAATCAACATCAATAATAGATGCCACTATATCAAGATTGTTCTTACTTGATGGAATACTCCATACCCACGTAGAAAAAAAAATAAAAATGCTTGATCGTATTTAATAAGCTAGATAGGAGTATTAGATAAAAAAACATTTAGTAATCACTATTATGATATTTTTTGGCCCCTAAGAATTTTTTCATTGTAACTTTGAAACCTTTAATTCCTCGCCAATAATTTAATGAAATTGCAGTTCTCCTGCAATTTAAAATAAAAGTTACTAGCGCTTGTTTCTTTTCAACATAGTTGTTGCTCTGAGTAAAGATAAATGGTCAAACGTCACATTAAGTCAACAATTAATGGTGTTATCTATTAAAAAATCAAGAGTAACAATCTACAAATAAAATGGGTTGCTTGGGAAGTGTGTGTAGCTTAACTGGTTATATTCCTTGTGGTGGAATTACCCCACCCAGGTTTAAGTCCTAGACTTTACACGATACTACTAGAAAAACGATTTTTACCGACGTTAGCTTTTTAATTTTTCAAGAGGACAAAAAAAAAACCCTCTTATAACCATTTGCGAAAATAGCTAAAGAGCATCTAGATTTAACTCTGCCTGCGAAAATCAATTTTTTCAGTCGGACCCCTTAAGACGTCCGCCTGCGAAAGTATACCTTAAGTGGTCCGCCTGCGAAAGTATTTTCGCAGGCGGAACCTTATGTGGTCCGCCTGTAGAGAAAATATCTAAGTCCCATCCTTATATTCTCCTCCACCATCCTTATCCTCTCCACCACTCATTTTCCTCCCCCTTCTCTCTTTCTCTCATCACACGCCTGAGGAGCGTCAGCGGCTCCAAGGAGGTTTGCCGCCGGCCGTGACAACGACTGGGTCCCACCGCCAGCTGCGATGACGACAACGACTCCGCCTGGATCCACCGCCGGCTCGCCTCGGGCACGCGGATCCGCTACCGGCCGGTCTCGAGGAGGGGAGGGGAGGCCGCGGCTTGGCTGCTCCCTCTCTTGGCGATGATGGTGGCTCAATGACGAGGAGTGGAGCGCGTCGGCCGTGAGGAGGAGGTGAGGCGGTGGTTCAACTTCTCCCTCTCCTGGCCTGGCGACGGCAAAGATGAGGAGGGCCAGCAATGGCTTGGTGATGAGGAGGGGAGGCGGCAGTCGTGCTCCAATCCCCCCTTCCTCCTAGATCCTGCCGGCGGTAGAGGCGAGCTAGCCAGCAGTGGCGGCGCTCTCCTCGGGCAGTCGGGCAGCAGCGGCGGACGGCGGACGGACGGACGGACGGCGGACGGAGGGGGAAGGGCTAGATGGGGAGGCCGGCATCGGCGCCAGCGAGCAGGGGTGGTGGCGGCGGATTTTTTTTTGTTCGCTGAAAATATTTTTGTAGGCAGGTGGATCTAACGTCTGTGAAAATCATTTATTTTCGTAGGCCTTTGCTTACAAGCGGTCCTTTCCCCCACTTGAAAAAATTATTTTTTGGCAGCCTAGGAAAATGGTTTTCCTAGTAGTGTGGGTGCTCATCTTTATGGCTAATTATTCTTTCAGTGCTAGGCGACGTACTCGTCAACAGCGAGACGCCTGCGATGACTTCATTAATTTCAAAATATATCGGTCCAGTCTTTCGGATGTGCTCATAGGAATAGGGTGTACGTGTCTACGTTTGTAAAGGTGAATATACGCTCGTTGTGAGTTTCTGCGTTTGTATTGTGTTTATAAAAAATGGGTTGCTTGGTTTAATTGGATGAATCTGATAAGTAATTGGTATTTTCGTTGATTTTGTTGGAAGGAATAGGACATGTAACGATTCGTGTTGTATGTGACACCACGACGCTGTTGCCATTGCAACGTAAGGTGTACATTCACCAGCTTCCCTTTCCGTTTTCGAGCAGCAAATTCCAAATGTAATTCCTTTTGTCACACGCAGGCAACACAACGCATGAACTCCACAAATCGTGTGCAGATAATTAATTTTGGACAAAGACATTTCTTGGAAGTGGCACAGATTTTTTTCACTGTCATGAAAGGCTTGATTGATGCAAACTAATTGAGCCGTCATCGGCTATCTGTACATTATCCGTACAGCTGCCAAGTTTGTATTGATCGGTTTTCCTCGAGGTTAATTTGTAACTTGTATGTTTTTCTTCTAGTAACTTAAGTAATTATTTTTAAATCTAAGGTCAATATGCATAACAACATATTCAGAAAAACTTATGAACAAGCTGATTGTTCATTGGTAAAATATAGATATGCCGATGTCAATAAAAACCGACGATGCCTGACCGAAACAAATACTACATGTCTACATCCATGCTAAAATTAAATAAGTTCACTTCTATACATGAATTTGACTATATTCATATTTATGTAAAAAATAAATTTATTTTTGAATGGAGGAAATAAGTATATACGGTGATAATTGAATACCGCTCACCAAAGATCCAGCTAGTAGCACACGGATAAATGGCTGCAAGCCACCAACCATTTCCGGTGGTCCAATACCTGAAGAACAGCCAGCCCATTGATGAGTCAGCAAAGGATCAGATCGTGAGAGATGAGCCAATGCCATGTATTTGAGTTACTCCAAACCAAAACACACCATCACATGGAAAAAGTAATTAATCTAACAAATGCCTCAATTAACATTGGTTATGCAGAAAATAAAGCTGCAGTTAACGGAATCAGATTAAAGAAGGAAACAACTGCTCATTTTCTGTAAGACAGCATCACGGCCTTCAGATCTATAAATAGGATTAGGCAAGGTGATTAGTGATACATTATGTGCTGTACCTGTTTCAAGAACACAATGATGAGCTGTACCATCATCAATTGTGAAATAATTAATTAAATTATCATTAAGCCCCAAACCGAGCCAAGCCAAGCCAAATGAATGATTGCTGTGGTGAAGGGCGACGACTAGTCAGGGATGAGTCGGATGGATATGCTCTTTATGTGATGCGGTGCCCAGGAAACGCGGCCCAACCAAATCAGGGTCATTAACGTCAAATCATTCTCTGCTAATAATGCAAGGCACCATTGTTTCTTCTCCAACTCTCTCCCTGGCGGCTGCCTCCTCTCCTCTTCTTGCTCGGTTCCCCCTGTATAAAAGAGAACCCCGTCTTCTCGCTCTCCTCGCATCCACTCCACATACTACCACTCAAAAACTCTCTCTCTCTACCCAAACAGGTTTTGAGAAAGAAGTGGAGGACAGATCCAAAAAGTTCACCTTTTGATTATCCAAACAAGTTTGGAGTTTGTTACCTGAATCTCCTCTTCTTCCTGTCACCGGAAGGTATGCAGTTCCTCTCTCCATATCATCTTCTAGCGTTTCTTTCTACAGATTCTTGATTGCTCGCTTTTTTCCATTATTCTCTTTTGCTCCAACGTAGGGGTAGGGCCACATCAGTTGGACAAGTAGAAATTGATGGCACATCAATTGAGTAGATGCGGAAATTTCTGGTTTTTAGTTAAAGTTTAGACCATGCCGATGCCAAAGTGCTGCCGTTTAATCGAATACAACGATATATACTCTTGCAATGGCATGTGTCATGAGGTGTTTGGGTTTGGCGAGGCTCAGTTTTCATTGAATTTCCCCTCCTTCCCATGTGGCCGTATCAAGCCTAATCTTTGAAAAATATTCACTTCATGTGGATGCGGAATCACTAGATGCAGCTTGACTCCATGCAAATCCTAACTCCTGCCATGTGCCCATGTGCCTGTCCCTTATCCTGATTTGCATCTGAATTCATTTGCTCAGTAATTTGCTTGTTCAGTGCCTAATCCGATAGACGTCCAAACAAAGTTTTAATTAGGAGCAGAAGATCCAGCAATGTTATTTTTTCTGAATTTGTAATGTCTTGGTTTCTGAATTCGTAATTGACTATTTTTATTAATCACCTTTCTGAACCTGAACGAAAGATGCATAATGATTCACATCGGTTGCAAATTTACTGAATATTTCCTCTTATTTCTAGTGTGTTATTCATAGAGTTCCGAAACTCAATTTCCCTTTTTTAAAAAAGCTTCTGATTTACCATTCCAGATTTCTGATAAGTACTTAGTTAAAGTTCCTTATTATATTAATTATCTATATTATCTATTACACAACACGTTGAACTCATGTAAGTTCTGATTGATTATAGGGAACACTTATATTATATAAGTAGTAGGTATAATTATATAAAAATGCAGTTAGTACTACAATAAGCTTTCAAAATTCTTCGTAGTGACTTTTGTTTGGTTAAAGTTCTTACAGACTTCCAGATTATTATACGTACCTTGTTAGCGACATTCAATTACTGAATCTGATGCCTGGTTTTGTTTGTGCAGGGAAATTGATAAAAAAAAAGCAGTGAAAGCCTCAAGGAATGCTGAAAGATGTGCTTGCATAGAAGAAATTTTCCGTGTGAGATAAAGCAGATTGCTGGTTCACTAGTGCTACTGATCTGCTCAAGTCTTGATGTGAGTGATCAACTTTCCTGCACTAATTCTACACCATTTAGACTCCGAAACGACGATGATATAAGAATGTTGTTCTCCATTCATGATCATGACCTTGGGGAGGATGGCTAAAGAATTGCAGTCCATCTGATTGGTGGTCAAAACATAGTGCTGAGATTTATATCTTTGTGGGCATGGAGAGTAGAGGGAAGATACTAATGGAGAGGTATGAGTTGGGCAGATTGTTGGGGAAAGGAACATTTGGCAAGGTGCACTATGCAAGGAATCTGGAGTCAAACCAGAGTGTGGCCATAAAGATGATGGACAAACAGCAGGTGTTGAAGGTCGGGCTTTCGGAGCAGATCAGACGTGAGATCACAACCATGCGGTTGGTGGCTCATAAGAACATTGTTCAGCTTCATGAGGTCATGGCAACACGGAACAAGATCTACTTTGTGATGGAGTATGTGAAAGGTGGTGAGCTATTTGAAAAGGTTGCAAAGCGTGGAAAGCTTACAGAGGTTGTTGCACATAAGTACTTCCAGCAACTCATTAGTGCAGTGGATTACTGCCACAGTCGAGGTGTGTATCACCGGGACTTGAAGCCTGAAAACCTGCTGTTGGATGAGAATGAGAACCTGAAAGTCTCAGACTTTGGACTGAGTGCGCTTTCAGAGTCGAAGAGGCAAGATGGCTTACTCCATACCACCTGTGGAACACCTGCATATGTAGCTCCAGAGGTGATCAGCAAGATAGGATATGATGGTGCAAAGTCAGATATTTGGTCTTGTGGTGTTATCCTGTTTGTTCTTGTTGCTGGTTACCTTCCTTTCCAGGGCCCAAACTTGATGGAAATGTATCGGAAGATACAACATGGTGAATTCAGGTGCCCCGGTTGGTTTTCACGCAAACTTCAGAAGTTGTTGTACAAGATCATGGACCCCAACCCAAGCACAAGGATTTCAATCCAGAAGATAAAGGAGTCTACCTGGTTCCGGAAAGGTCCTGAGGAGAATCGTATTTTGAAGGAAAGAACTTTGAATGAAAACACCACCAAAAATGTTGCTCTGGTGCTTGGTGTGAGACGCAAGAAAAATGCTCATGAAGATGTGAAGCCCATGTCAGTGACAAACTTAAATGCCTTTGAAATTATCTCTTTCTCCAAGGGGTTTGATCTCTCTGGCATGTTCATTGTAAAGGAATGGAGAAATGAGGCAAGGTTCACTTCAGATAAATCTGCCTCAACCATAATCTCAAAGCTAGAAGATGTAGCAAAGGCGCTAAATCTCAGGGTAAGGAAGAAAGACAATGGTGTAGTGAAGATGCAAGGGAGGAAGGAGGGAAGGAATGGTGTTCTTCAGTTTGACATAGAGATATTTGAGGTTACCACTTCCTATCATATCATCGAGATGAAACAAACAAGTGGCGATTCATTGGAGTACCGACAGCTACTGGAGGAGGGCATCCGGCCAGCTCTGAAGGACATTGTCTTGGCCTGGCATGGAGATGAATAGCAGCAGTCGCAAGAGTAGATTTTGATGTCTCAAGCATTTAGTTTCCGCTCCTCAAATTCATTAGGTTTTAGCTCAAATGAATTTATTTGTCTTGCCTATGTTCTTTTTAGCATCTATGTTTTTGTATCTGGAGAGTTCATGTTGAGGCAATCTATGCACAATTTAGATGGAGTCTGTCGAGAGTAATTTTATGAGAAGTTGAGCTGCAATATAAAAGTTGGCTTTGAGCCTTTCAAGCTTTCTTCATATATTCGTCCTTGTCCTGTCATAAAGCTATGCTTGGGTGCAATGTTGTGACACCATTAGCAAGGTTACTGCAGCATGAAGTATGCAATTCTTGGTATTCACCAGTCGCTCAAGAATTTCTAGAGTTTTTAACTTTTTATTACCAACTTGTTGACGAAAATTCTCATATCAATAGTGCTACAGAGGTATACCTTATCAGCTATTGAACATAAGTCTTTATCAAACAAATAAAAGAAAAACCGAAGCGACTTCTCATTCTGCGGACGAACAAGATAACACGAGTGCGCAATCCTACAAGATAGTAGCAGGTAGGCAACGAAATACCAAAAAGCTGCAGTTTCATTGGAAGGCCAAAAAAAAGATTTTTTTTTAAGAATAAGGATATCCTTGTATTTGCCAAATAGCCACAGAGAGCGAAGTTATTGGTAAACAAAAGAAAATATAATACACATGTTGAAAAATCTGAACAAAAGCTATTTAAACACTAGTTGTGAGGAAAATAAATTGTCCCTGTCACTGAGGATAGATCCAACATCCAAGAGCTCATTTTTCACGGTACTAATTGATCACCCAACATCTTTCCAAGATGTTAATAATACTGCTAATCAGACTGTCCAAATGTCGACTGGATTTGGTTAATCTCAACAACCCAATCGTAGCTGTGACAAGTTGTACATATGACAAAGACTACACTCTTCATAATTTCATATTGCAACTTGCGAATTTCCCACCTAGATGCTTTTGTCCTTTGTAAGATTTGAGAATTTTTTTTTGCTTTGAGAAATAATACTGAGATATCATTATATCAATGATAGATTCCTGATAAGATCGCTGTAAATTAGAGAGAGGGAGAAAAAAAGGTTTTAAGATAAGTCATGTTGTCATGCAAAATTCAGTTCTAGTGTTCTACTACTATACATTTATATATCTTTCAGATGTTGCCAGTTTATATACATTAGTGTTTGTCTTGATAGGATATGTTAAAAAAAAGTCTGGCCGACAATATGTGATGACGATGAGGTAATCCTTTATAGCTAGTAAAGCAGAACAGAGGGAATAGTAGTCTGAATTTGCAAGAGATGGGGAAAAACCTTGACCTGCTCTGCTGTCCTGTCACCTTGACCTTATTATCCTCTTGGAGAGGAGATGGAAGAAGGAACTAGGCTTTGATCTGTACAGCTTGCGTGCCATTGATCTCTGCAACGCGGAGACACCGCCACCCTGAGTGGTGTATACCTGGCCGGACCTCGACATACCTCGGTCATGGTTGCCGTTTCAGCCGAAGCTCATCAACCTCGGCTCTGGCAGATTTTGTGCCGTCAAGATCTTCACTTCTGGTGGTTACTACAACGACTCTGATGATGACATGATTCACTCTGATTTTGCTGCGGATTTTGCTGTTTTCACTGGCCTGCAGATGCTGCGTCCCCATGGTAAAGATGATCCAAGACAGGTTCGGATGATCGAGCACAAGTCCATGTATTAGTACATTTTCAACGCCTATAACATTGAATTTGTTCTCTAAGAAACTAATTTCGAGTTTTTATAGATGAGAATTGGTGTATTGAAAGTAATATTATTTTTCTATGAATCAATATGATTTTCTTTCTATGGAAATCTATTTATGATGCACATTAATTAATTTCCGGTGGACTCACAGACTCACAGTAGCCTGTAGGCTGTAGGAGAGTACTGACTACTCACTACTCAGTGGAGTCGGAGGCTGACGATTTTCTTTTCCTCTTGCAGACGCTTTTACAAGTGGCATTAGTACTACTACGCACCTAGACACCCAACAGGTTAATTCAGAAACAGCAACGGGCAAGCTACTTTGAATCGAAGATGAACAAAGTAAGAAGCCTATATTGAAGTAGTATAATTTTAAAATAAAACGTTACTGTCCAAGCATCATCTGAGAAAACTAGGTTACAGTCCAGCCATTTTATTCAAAACATTATCTGTTGCAAGGAGGAAATTAAAATGAAATTTGCAAGTGGAGTAGTAGACTGGGGCCCCCGCGTCGCCCTCCCCTGGGCGGCTCGGGAGGCGACGCGCCCGCCGCCGCCTTCCTCTCCCCGCCTCCTCCTCCGCCTCGCCGCCGCCTGAGCGGGCGCCGGCAAAGCCGCGTGCCGCAAGGACGGCGGCGGCAGGGCCTCGTCTCACCCACATTGCACTCAGAGGCCGGGGGAGCTGTGTGTGGCGGCAACGGTGGTGGCCAGATCCGCGCCGTGTCCGGCCAGATCCGGCAGGGGGGTGGCCGGCGGCGGCGGCTGACGGTGGTGGCGGCGGCGGCAGCGCTGGTGGCGGATATGGCGGCGAAGGTGATGGTGATGGCGACGACGACGGCGGGCCGCGGCGCGTGTCGCGACGCCGGCCGGGCTCGTCAAGGACCTCGCTGCCACGAGACCTCTGGCGCAGCACCCTCGTCGACGCTCCCTCCACGACGCCGATGACCCGCGCGGCGCGGATGGCGGCTGTGGCGGCGGCGGTGGCGGCTGGCGACGGTGGCGCCTGTGGCGGTGATGGTTGGCAGGCCATCACGACCGAAGGGGCTGACGGTGTGTCGTCGTCGGCGGCAGCATGTGGAGGCGAGGAAGGAGTCTGGCGGCGGGGAAGGAGACCAGGTGTAGGCGTGACGTTGACGGTGGGAAGATCTGTGGCAGTGGCCTAGGCCGGATCGCTGAAGGGACAATATTGTCGACCGGCGATGATCCTTCTTGTGCGGATTGGTTGTGGGGGTTTGGACAGGGAATCGCTAGCAAAAGCCTCGCCGAGCCGTTTGGCCGGCTGATGACGGCGACACCTTTTGGCGTCGTTCCCCTCCCTGAAGGCGTCGTTTTAGCGTACCCCTCTCCTTTCCCTACCATTCTCCAGGTGAAAACCTTGCTTCGGCTTCCGAACGAGCGGTGGCGGCGATCCACGTCGCGTCCTCCTTGGGGGCACCGCTTTGGAGAAACTTCTTCGTGCAAGGATGTCGTTGATGGTCTATGCATTTGCTTTGAAGCTTTTTAGCCCTAGCTTTTGATGAGGCCTTCTATTTCTAGCTCCACCTTTTGTTTTGCGGTGGACGACCTCGCTCTTTTTTTGATTTTGTTAGGTGGAGTCGGAGCTGCTTTGTCCGAGTGACGAAGCTGGGCAACGATGACACGCTGCATTTTCTTTCTAGGGGTTTTGTTGTTGGCCGTGAATAGATTGTGGCGCTTAGGCAGCTTTGGTTGATGTTCATCTTGGGAAGTCGAAACCACTTGATCATTTGCAGCATCTAGGTTCCGATGGTGCATCCGGTTTGAAGTCGAAGCTGCTGTGTCGCTTGGCGGCAAGCTTGGCAACGATGACACGGTTGAAAAGTCAGAACCCCCTATGCTGTTTTGGTCAACCTTGGTAACGACATCCTACGTTGGGCTCCGTCAGTGGTTTCAGCTGTTAGTGAGTTCTGGCGTGTGCTGTGTAACTGTTCAGCCAGTCGGTGGTTGGTTTTTCTTTTCTTGTAACCCGTCTAGGGTTTTTACTACTACTTATTGAAAATATAATTGGCAGCTCTCCTGCCGGTTTAGTTTTTTTTTTAAAAAAAAAAGTAGAGTAGTAGACTTCACCTATCGTGCAGAGTTGGAAAAGGACGGCCCATTGGGCCCAATAATGAGGAGAGTTATGTTAATCGGACCAAAGACCGCAGGTTCGCCTTCCCCTAGCGCCGGTCGTCTCGGACTGCACCTCCGCCGCCGCCCGCCGTCGATCTCCAGCTCCACTGCATACAATACTACGTACCTCCATAATATTTGGTGTAAACTCCAGGGAAGGAATTTCTGCTGGTCGGTAGGTATGAGGTTAATTTCTTCTTTAATTTCTCTCTCCATTTATTATTGATCTTCTCGTTGCTAGCTGTGTTTGCATGGTGTGTCTAATCTGGATTAGAATCAGGCCGGATAAATAAGTATCGTCTCGGCGTTTGGAGCAGATACGTACCATGGGACGACGACGATTTGTGAACCTGGTGGTGCAGGGCGCCGGTGGACTCTATTCTCTGCGCCGCATACCCGCGAATCGTCTCTTCTACCCATCAACAAGAGCAGCTGAAGAAGCAACGGCAAAGTCACAAGAATCATTCATGGAGGAGCACGGTGGCAGGAAGCATCCAGGCCTCCACACCATGGAGATGTTGGAGAAGCTTCCCCGTTCGACGTTCGCCTTCGAGCCGGCCCCCGTGGATCGCTACCATCTTAGGTCTCTCGACTTCGCCTGTCTCCTCGGCCACGAGAGCAGGATGCTCACTGCAGACAACAGGGGAAACACCGTCGTCTTCGACGCCGACTCCTCCTCCGTCCTCGCCTTCCCCAACCTCATTTCTCCCAAGAGGTATAACGCCATATCCCTCTCCATTATCAACAACGATGGCAGCAACAACAACAACGGGTTGGAACCACCGCCGGAGGACGGCCTCTACGTGATGACCCGGAGTCCCGACGTCCACAGAATCAAGGATGGTTGCTTTGAGGTGCTCAACTACTCTTCTTCCTCTGCCGATTTCCGTGAGATGACCCCTCATTGGGTTTCTCTGCCACCACCGCCCTTCGCCGGCTGCATGAACGCCGAAATTACCTCCTACACGGTGGTTCACGGCACCACCATCTACATTTCTTGCAATAAGCCAATCCATTCTACTTATGCCTTCGACACGGTTAGCCATGAGTGGCGCCGGCTGGGCTCCTGGACAATGCCATTCCATGGCAGAGCTGAGTATGTGCCGGAGCTCAACCTCTGGTTTGGACTGTCTGCTCGCCACCCCTACAGCTTATCTGCTTTTGATCTCCTCTCCGACGACTCATCCGTCGCAGCAAAACCACCCACGGTGCACCATACTTGGGTGGACCTTGACATACCTCAGTCCTGGTTGCCCTGGAACATTCATCTCATCAACCTCGGGTGTGGCAGGTTTTGCATCGCCAAGTGTCGAAACATGAATTCGGCAATAATAAAAGGGGTAGCGCACGAGACCTAAAAGTGG